TCCTTGGTAGAGCGTATTCGTTTTTACCTCGACCACGATCCCTACGCTCAACCACTGGTCTCTGCTCTCCATGCGCCGGCTGCCCATCAATCGTCCCGCCTTCGCCGCCGCCTTCGCCCCTACTCCCTCTCCTCTGATGGCCTCCTCCTCCACCACGGTCTCGTCTATATCCCCGAGGTTGATGATATCCGACTGGCCCTCCTTCAACAGGCCCACGACGTGCCTCTCTCCGGCCATGTGGGGCAGCGCAAGTCTGTTGAGCGGGTCCGGCGGGATTTCTTCTGGCCGGGGCTCCAGCGCGATGTTGAGGCTTATGTTCGTTCGTGCGATGCTTGTCAACGCGTCAAGCCCCCACATCACCAGTATCAGGGTCTTCTCCAACCTCTCCCCATTCCCCCTACGGCGTGGCACACCATCTCCTGGGACCACATCACCGACCTCCCCAGGTGCCACGGTTTCAACGCCATCCTGGTTATTGTGGACAGCTTTACCAAGATGTGTCACTTTGTGCCTGCGCACAAGGAAGATACCGCCCCCACGCTTGCGCAACAATTCTTGCAGCATGTTGTTCGCCCTCACGGTCTTCCATCCCATGTCGTCTCCGACCGGGGTTCCACCTTCACCGCGACTTGGTGGCAAGAAATCTGCAAAGCCATGGGGACCGTTCCCTTATACAGTACCGCTTTTCACCCTCAGACGGATGGGCAAACGGAACGGGTCAACCAGACCATCGAGCAGTACCTGCGCGTGTTTGTGAATCAAGAGCAATCGGACTGGGTGAAGTACCTTCCTCTTCTCGAGTTTGCATACAATAATTCGTATCACAGCTCGACGGGTACCACTCCTTTCTTTGCGGACCACGGGCGTCACCCCCGCGATCACCTCGGCCCCCCTCCCCCTACTTCTTCCCTTCCCTCGGCCGCTTCTTGGTTACAGGCCCTGCAGGCCATTCGTGAGAAGGTGTCCCGTTGCTTGAAGGCCGCCAAGGATCGCCACGCGCGTTTCGCCGATTGGCACCGCAAAGCCATTGACCCGGCATCGTTCCAAGTGGGCTCTCTGGTCATGTTGAACCGTAAGCACCTTACTTCTTCCCGCCCTTCTCGCAAACTTGAGGATGTGAT